TTTGTGGTCTATAGTTACACCCAGGAGTTTGGAAGACTGCACGAACTGGAAAGGATGGGCACCCACTGTGACTGCTGGAGCTGGCACTGGAGTGGTGATTGTATTGAAGTGCATGACTACGGTTTTGGTGTGATTGATGGTGACCTTGTTCTCCGTAGTCCATGCCTGTAGCCTGTCCAGGGTGCCTTGTAGCGATGAGTAGTCCGGTGAGGTGTTGTCCACTGTAACCCCCACAGTGCAGTCATCCATGTACTTCCACCTGTGAGGAGTGTCCGATAGAGCGTCGTTGATCAGGATTAGGAAGCACAGTGGTCCCATCTTGGTCCCCTGGGGAACACCTCAGGTGAGGTGTTAGAATGTGGAGACAGAATCCTGGTACCTCACTGCCTGACGACGCTCAATCAGGAAATCAGTGAGCCATGAGACCAGGTTGGTAGGCAGCCCAAGTGCATTGGCCTTGTTGATAACAGTGCAGTGATCAACAAGGTCAAAAGCCTTCCTGAAGTCAACAAAGGCAACGGCCAGTGATGTCTTACGTTTCTTCAGGTTTGTGTGCAGAAAATCCAGGAAACTAACTAAGCAGTGTGATGTAGAGGAGGTCCTCATATTGCCAAATTGCTGTGGATCAATTGACTGATAAATACAGTACTAGCAAATGCTCTGTTACGAGTGTCGGAATAAGAACCACTGAATGGATTACTGGTTGGCATATGAACTTCGACTGATTCGTTGTGGACACACTGAAGCAGTTAAAATTTAGATATATATTATACTTGATATGTAGTAACATTAGTTTCAATGTGTTAGATAAAACAAAGTAATGTTTAATGTATGAGTCTCGAATATTAATGAATGAGTGAGCGTTTGATAGCTATTTGTGGATTCGCAAGTTGAACGTCTTTTGTTATGACGTCATCTCCGCCCACCTCTACACGGTTAGTTTTACCTCTCAGAGCCCGGTGTTTTAGTAGTGGGCTGGCAGTTGTAAGATAAGTATCTCCTCTCCTATTGTATATTTCTAATGGTATACCGTGTTAACCTTGCTCGACTTTTAAGAACACCAAGTATTATATAGTGATTTATATGTGAGACTGTGGGTAGTCACATTTTAGAATTCAACGATAAATAACTTACTTGTTTATGAGTTACGTGTGTTGGATAACATACGTTGTTCAGGGTAGTGTCTAGACTAAATAAGTGTTTAATCAGTACGTTGATGTTCGTTATTTTGTCACGCGGTTGAGTAGTATTTTTGTACATACAGGTATACTTGTTTATTGTTTGCTTGTTTGTTAATACATTTTGTAATTAAAGCCACTGCATGAATTTCAATATACCCTATAGTAATGAGGTGATAATTTGGTGGGATCTATTCCTGGACCTATAGTACAAAGCTGAATTTGTGAATTTGTGATAGTGTTACACCATATAAGGGTAGAGCGTTTGGACCAAAATTTCAGGAGTTTGTTGGCAATTTCAAATGATTGAATACTGGAAGGGGGGAGGGGGAAGGTAAGTAGGCAGGGAGGAGAGTGAGGTCAAGACTGGGTAGGGTATGACAAATGGTAGCAAAGTGGTTATTGTCTCAGCTGCCTCCTCACTTGGTAAATGAGAGAGATAAAAGGAAATGTGGGAGACTGACGGTTAAGACCACAGAGATCTTTTACCTTAGAGTACCATTGACCGATGCCGACCTCCTTGAGGCTGTGCACTTTCCTGGGATAATAAGACTTCTTGGCAGACTTGATTTCCCTGATGACCTGGTTACATAGACTTTTGTACAGGCGGTTGTTGGTGTAGTATGCCTTGTTGCACAGCTCAATTAGTCTTTTGATACTGGGTGTAATCCACGGGACATCATCGAGGTGAATCCTCAGTGTCTTGACTGGAAAGAAGTGGTGGTAGGCTTTGGTGATAGTGTCCAGGTAATTATCCCACTTGTTCTGCACATCGTCCAGGGGTACCGGGTCACCCATTGTCCGAAACACTTCATAGCAGAGTCAGGGGTAGGTCGGTAAGTCCTGGTGACAACTGGCGGTCGTGAGATGGTAGGTGTATGACCACAGTAGAAACAGGTGGGTGCTCCGCCCCATGGGAGGCAGCGGCTGGGAGGGAAGGTAGTGGTTGCCGAGATCAGTCATGATGAGGTCCAGGGTGGCATTCCCTCCCTGTGTCATGTTCCTCGCTGTGTCATGTTCCTCCTGTGTCATGTTCCTCCCTGTGTTATGTCCTCGCTGGGGTTAATCTTCAGGTGATGCAACTGGACGAGTATTTGCCATGTACTGTACATAATTTACTGCAACATTATTCTGACAAAATTGAAACAAGATCCACAATTGCACGTGGTAACTCGAAGGTCAAGCGAACCAGTTTACTTGTTTATAAGGTCAATATAACCTTATTTGTAAAGTATAAGATTACTGTTAAGGTTAGGTTAGGTTAGGTTAGGTACTCGTGTCAGGTGCTTTGTTTAGTGCCACGAGGTCAAGGTTTGCATGATTAGGTGGACACAAGGTCACGATGATGGTGTTGATCTGATCATTAGGTTAAGACTCTATTGAAGGCGTTGAAGAGTGGCAAGACTCCTGCCTTACACTGACAGGTGGAGTCATAAGTCCATGTCAAAATGTTTATCTTGAGTCCTGGTAGTGTGTGGGTGCCAAGGTAGGTGGCTGGGTGGCTCAGGCGGTACCATAGTAGTAGTGCGTGTCGGTAAGGACTTTGCGAACTGAGGTTGATGGCCTTGTGGCCTTCATCTTGTGTCATGTGTGTGTGTGTGTGTGTGTGTGTGTGTGTGTGTGTGTTATAAAGGTCGGGTAAAACACTTTTTTTTTCAACAATAATCGTAACATTTTCTTTCGTACTTCAGTACAGTCTAATGTCAAACCTTTTGGGAGAAAAGCCACTAACGTAGTCTCCCACACTGGCTTTCAGGGTGACGTTAGTAGCGACTGGTAAACAACTCCTGGTACCCGTTAAGGCAGCAGAGTCAGTTTGCTTCAATTTTGTTACAGGTAAGTAAAAATCATTTACCTTTTCATGTTGTAAGAAAAGTAATATACTACAACCTAAAAATAATGTACAATAAATTAAAGCCGTGAGTCGTTAAACACGTTCTAATATATTTAATAAAAGAGTATTAAGTTTGCTTCTGTAATATACTATCATTATGTAATTGCTAACTCTTACTCTAGATAAATTTATTGCAATTATCTTCCAGCAATGGAGTTTATGTGTTATAAAATGTAATCTATTTTGAAGCTGATTTTCAACTCGCACTCTCCTCCCCCTCCCTCTCGTGACGTCATCACCCACCATCGCAAAACCCGAACACTTTTTACGTTGGTTTATATTTTCAATTAAATTTTGAAAAAAGTGCTTTCATATTTCACGATTTTCTTCCCATAAAATCATATTACTGATAATGAACCTGGATACTTGTGGGCGTCACTTCATAAGTAAGCTTGCCTGTGGCGTTGTGCTTTACCTATCTGTTGTGTAGGTGGTGTGAGACAGGTCATGAAGTGTGTGTGTGTGTGTGTGTGTGTGTGTGTGTGTGTGTGTGTGTGTGTGTGTGTGTGTGTGTGTGTGAGTGCATGCATTTCCCTTTACTTCATGCTTCTAAACAACAACAGCAGTGAATGTTACATAACTAGCGTTTAAGTTTCATAAGTTCGCACACACACACACACACACACACACACACACACACACACACACACACTGTGGCTTCATCGACCAGTACTACATCTCAGATAAATCAATATAAAGGTCACAGACAGATTCCTTGCGTGTGTCTGATCGGTGATAAAAAGCTGTGGCAGTGTGGTGGCAGTGGTGGTGAGTCATTACTCAAGGTATCTCAGGTGATTAACTCTGACTGAATGAGGGACTGAGTTTTGAATTTCATATATTAGAACAGTGTGGGTGTGTACTGTGTTTCACTTATAAGAGCAACAAAAAATACTGTGCTTGTTAGATAAATAAGTACCGCATTTTACTTACAAGAGCAACGACGAAAGTATACTGTACGGCTTCACTTACAGAAACAACAAAAGGTCAAGCCTTACTTGGACTGGGTTTCACTTACAAGAACCAAGAAGTACTGGGCTTCACTTACAAGAACACCAAAGAAGTACTGGGCTTCACTTACAAGAACACCAAAGAAGTACTGGGCTTCACTTACAAGAACACCAAAGAAGTACTGGGCTTCCACCTACAAGAACACCAAAGAAGTACTGGGCTTCACTTACAAGAACACCAAAGAAGTACTGGGCTTCACTTATAAGAACAACATATAAGTGCAAGGCTTCACTTTAAGAACAACAAAAGATCAAGGCTTCACTTACTTGGACTGGGCTTTTCTTACATTAACAGCAAAAAGTACTGGGCTTCACTCAAGAACAACTAAAAGTACAGGGATTAATTTACAATAACAACAAAACAATAAATAAGTACTGGGGCTTCACTTACAAGAACAGCCAAAAAGTAATGAGATTCACTTACTTGAATAAAAAGTACTTGGCTTCACTTATTTGGATAAAAAATGGGTTTCACTTACAGGCACAACAAAATGGTACTCTGGATTCACTTACTTGAATAAAGTACTGGGCTTCACTTACAAGAACAAAAAGTACTGGACTTCAATTACTTGGATAAAAAATTACAGGGTTTCACTTACAAGAACAGCCAAAAGGTACTGAGATTCATTAACTTGAATAAAAGTACTGGCTTCACTTACAAAAAAAAAAGTGTTGGCTTCACTTACAAGAATAAAATGTATTGGGCTTCACTTACAAGAATAAAAAGGTAAGAGCTTCACTGACAAGGATAAAAAGTATTGGGCTTCACTTACAAGAATAAAAAGTATTGGGCTTCACTTACAAGAATAAAAAGTATTGGGCTTCACTTACAAGAATAAAAAGTATTGGGTTTCACTTACAAGAATAAAAAGTATTGGGCTTCACTTGCTTGAATAAAAAGCTTTGGGCTTCACTTACTAGAACATTTCATTAATCTATCGAAGGAGTCGCTCCACGCTCGTATTTCTTCTATCGTCGGCCTGAAACAAAGAAAGAAAACAATTATTAACACAAGTGAACACTGACGAAAGATTCCCTCACAAGTTTACCTGCAGGTGTCGATTCTATGGGTTCCTCTTACCGTGGGCTCTTCTTCTATGTGTTCCTCTTGATGGGCTCTTGTATCGGTTCTTCTTACCGCGGGCTCTTCTGTGGGTTCCTCTTACCGTGGGCTCTTCTTCTATGTGTTCCTCTTACAGTGGGCTCTTGTATCGGTTCTTCTTACCGTGGGCTCTTCTTCTTTGGGTTCCTTTTACAATGGGCTCTTCTATGGTTCCTCTTCCCGTGGACTCTTCTTCTGTGGGTTCCTCTTACCGTGGGCTCTTCTTCTCATGGGTTCATCTTACCGTGGGCTCTTCTTCTATGAGTTCCTCTTACCGTGGGTTCTTCTATAAGTTAATTTTTTACCGTGGGCTCTTCTATGGGTTCCTCTTACCGTGGGCTCTTCTTCTATGGGTTCTTCTTACAGTGGGCTCTTGTATCAGTTCTTCTTACCATTGGGCTCTTCGTCTTTGGGTTCCTTCTTTTTACGGGATTAGCCCGCGCACCGGTCACTGACCCACATCGGGGACTGGGGGGCGAAAATGTAGTAATAATAATAATAATAATAATAATAATAATTATAATAATAATAATAATAATAATAATAATAATAATAATAATAATAATAATAATAATAATAATAATAATAATTCAGATGAGTAAAATTAAAAAAATACAAAAATAAAAATAATAATAATAATAATAATAATAATAATAATAATAATAATAATAATAATAATAATAATAATAATAAAAGAACCATAAAGAAAAAAATCAAGAGTGAGAAACAATATATATGTGTTGTGTTGTCAATGGTAAAGAAACAATTGAGACCCTGCAATTGTGTGTGTAAATGAGGCAAGTCAGATGAGCAACCTGGGACTTGGTCACAATTTTCGTGATGCCATATAGCAGGGTCTACCATTAGACAATACATTATGCTTCAATATCTTCCCAGGCGGTAGTACTTCCCTGATTGGTAGCTGCCTACTACCTACTAATGGGCTCTTCTATGGTTCCTCTTCCTCTGGGCTCTTCTTCTGTGGGTTCCTCTTACCATGGGTTCTACTTCTATGGGTTCCTCTTACCGTGGGCTCTACTTCTATGGGTTCCTCTTACCGTGGGCTCTACTTCTATGGGTTCCTCTTACCGTGGGCTCTACTTCTAGGGGTTCCTCTTACCGTGGGCTCTTCTATGGGTTCTTCTTACCATGAGCTCTTCTTCTATGAGCTCCTCTTACCGTGGGTTCTTCTATAAGTTATTTTACCGTGGGCTCTTCTATGGGTTCTTCTTACCGTGGGCTCTTCTTCTATGGGTTCCTCTTACCGTGGGCTCTACTTCTATGGGTTCCTCTTACCGTGGGCTCTACTTCTAGGGGTTCCTCTTACCGTGGGCTCTTCTATGGGTTCTTCTTACCATGAGCTCTTCTTCTATGAGCTCCTCTTACCATATGCCCCCCTAATCTTTCTTCCCGAAGCTAGATGTGTGGTTGAGTTTCATAGGCGTCATTCTGGTAACCACCCAGGTTGTCACTGCTCCAGCCAACATAAACCAATATTGCCAATCTGATTACGGATTTTACGGAGGGACGTATCGAGTTAGCCCTTGAAGATTTTTAATGATGGCGTGGATAAACAGTTTACGAGACGCCCACACGTTCATGCTCTCTCTCTCTCTCTCTTTCTCTCTCTCTATTATTTACATTTTGTGATAATCAGGCACTCGACATCTGAGGCCTGGAAATAAGTATGCAAGTAAACCTCGGAGAAATGATCAATGTCATCCTCTATCTACCTCTGTGTCTGTTGCCTCTGGTGTGTGTGTGTGGCTGGTTAGCGTATCATCTGAATCACTATAGAATTATCTGATTCATTATAAAATCATTTGAATAATGCAAAATCAGTTGTATCACTATAGAGTCATTTGGATCACTATAATCATATTGATAATTATAAGGTCGTTAAGGTTAAGATACAGGCATTTGGAACACTGTAGGATCATTTATAATACTAAAGTCATTTGGAAAAGTCGCAGGTCAAGTGATATTGGTCTTTACAGTCCAGTCTCGTTAAGATCACTCATCCTTCAAAATTTCATTACAGACAACCGAGAGATCTTACAAAAATTCTTAGGGTAAGGATTTGACATTTGACTTTCTTGTGACGCAGACTTTTAACTTGTGAACTGAAATTGGTCTTCTCGACATTGTTTCATTAAGATGCAACATGCCTTCAAATATCATTATGGTTGGTTATATTGTTCAGGTATATAATGTGGAGAATGTTTTTCTCTTTTGGCCTCCTTAGGCTGACAACACTTTTAATGTAATAAGATTTTAAAGTAACATCAGTTACCTACACGCCAAATTTGGTCTGGATATAACTACGACAGTTTATATATTTTGCTGATCAACTCATTTTAACCTTTGACCCTCCAGTGACCTTGAATTGTTATGGACACAGGAATATAACCAAATCTTGAGATGATGTTAAGGTGTTATGTAATAAACTTGGTCTGGCTCTGATTAATAATTCCTAAGTAGTCCTCCATGTTTGTGCAGAGTAAAAACCAATCGCCTTTCGTATTCTACATCTTTATACAAAGTAGGAACAATGGTCTAGTATCAAATATATCTAAATCAGCCTCTTGCGGTCTTCATGTCACCCTTCCCAGAACACCAGGTGCAGCTTCCTCACCTCCAGCAGATATATACACAATGTTTACGAGGAAGTAGTAATTAGTTAACTGGGTAGATGTACTGTTATGGTTGAGGCACACCAGGGAGGTCACACAGGCAGACCCGGAATGTGTGTTGGTACTGCTCGTAAACTGGACAATAGCTCTCACGGCACGCATTAAGACACACCCAGGTAGGAAGCCCAGATGGAGGAGGTGCATGGCCATATCTTAAAGGATTTCAACACAGCCACCGATACACATAGACTAACGTTGCCCTTCTTCCTCTCCCTTCTCTTCCTCCTCCTACACTGAAGATGATGATGGGTCGTAGGTCAAACACTTATCACCCTTCCCAATCACTGAGGCGGAATTAAAAAATCAACCAAGTTATTTCTCATCAAAAAATAAACGGTCATAAGCTGTGCTGTATTACCGTTCATAATCTGTGTTGTATTACCGTTCATAAACTGTGTTGTATTACCGTCAATAAGCTGTGTTGTATTACCGTTCATAATCTGTGTTGTATTACCGTTCATAAACTGTGTTTTATTACCGTCCATAAGTAGTGTTGTATTACCGTCCATAAGCTGTGTTTTATTACCGTCCATAAGCTGTGTTGTATTACCGTTCATAAGCTGTGTTATATTACCGTCCATAAGCTGTGCTGTATTACCGTTCATAAGCTGTGTTATATTACCGTCCATAAGCTGTGCTGTATTACCGTTCATAAACTGTGTTTTATTACCGTCCATAAGTAGTGTTATATTACCGTCCATAAGCTGTGTTGTATTACCGTCCATAAGCTGTGTTGTATTACCGTTCATAAGCTGTGTTGTATTACCGTTCATAAACTGTGTTATATTACCGTCCATAAGCTGTGTTATATTACCGTCCATAAGCTGTGTTATATTACCGTCCATAAGCTGTGTTGTATTACCGTTCATAAGCTGTGTTGTATTACCGTTCATAAGCTGTGTTGTATTACCGTTCATAAGCTGTGTTGTATTACCGTCCATAAGCTGTGTTGTATTACCGTCCATAAGCTGTGTTGTATTACCGTCCATAAGTAGTGTTCTATTACCGTCCATAAGCTGTGTTGTATTACCGTTCATAAACTGTGTTGTATTACCGTTGTGTGCTGGTGAGGGCATTGTAATGTTTCTATACGTGAATTGCGAGTATGTGCTTGTACTTGAGAATTAACCTTCAACGCAACACACCAGGCACAGCTGCACCACCACAACACAGCTGCACCACCACAACACAGCTGCACCACCACAACACAGCTGCACCACCACAACACAGCTGCACCACCACAACACAGCTGCACCACCTCCACCATCATCTCGACATATGCAGCAGATGTCTTAGAGTCACTTCCCCTCATGTCCCAGCGTCATCACATATGTCCCAGGATCCATCTCGTGTCCCAGTATCCAATCTCGTGTCCTAGGATTCACACTCGTGTCCCAGGATCCACCCTCATGTTAGGATCCACTCCGGTGTCCCAGGATCCACCTGTGTCCCAGGATCCACCATGTTGTGATCCACTCCGGTGTCCCAGGATCCACCTTCGTGTCCCAAGATCCACCCTCATGTTCTAGGATCCACCCCAGTGCCCCAGGATCCACCCCCTGTATCCTAGAATCCACCTCATGTTCTAGGATCCACCCGTGTCCCAGGATCCACTCATGTCCCAGGATCCACCGTCATATTCTAGACCACCCCGGTGTCCCAGGATCCACCCTCATGTCCTAGGATCCACCATAGTTTCACAGGATCCACCCTCGTGTCCCAGGATCCACCACAAGACATAACACCACCATCCTGACACAATATACCATCCATCTCTATTAACAATGAGTCGCCTTGATATAACTGGCTACGTCCCGGTCACTACTGCAGAACACAGAAGGAGTTCACTAGCAGAAACACCTTCAACCTTTAGGAGTAAACAGACGCGTCTCTTGAGTATTAACGACTCTGTCATAAGTTGATGAAGCTTATCAAGTTTGATACAAATCAGCAAACCTATTTTCCAGTTACTTTGGACACACACAAAGATACTGAAACACGAATGAATTTACTAATACACACACAAAAAACTTACACACACACACACACACACACACACACACACACACACACACACACACACACACACACACACACACACACACACACACACACACACACACACACATATAGTTTGGTGGTCAATGAATCATCTTAGTTTGGTGGTCAATGAATCATCTTAGTT